CACCACTGCACAGGGTACCACAAGTTGTTATTTTTTAACAACACAATCACTTTGCAAATTGTGCAACCCAATAGGGGTCAATGCCATTTTGTGGCGACAGACCCATATGAAGAGAACAAAATTAAGATCCCAAAAGCTGATAGAAAAAATTCCCACAGAATTGACAGCTGAAATGCAGCCTGAAGGGTATGTCCAAGTCAGTGTGCTAAATACAGGCTCTTGACACAGGATCATTCAAGGGTACAAGGCAGTAAAGGATGTGGGGTCCTATCTACCTAGCCTGCACTTTCATTTGTGATCACTTAAGCATGCCTCCAAATAAAATGCCAATGTTCCTTGTGTAGTTAATGTGAAGTAAGTATCTTTCATGGCTCTCAAAACAAGGTCTTCCCTGACCAAGTTCAAAATTCTTTACTGAGCAGCCAAGATTTCCTTTTGAGGGTCTTCAGAGTAAACTACCCTTTTCCATCAACTATACAGGCAAGAATGGCATTTCATTTGGGGCACATACTTCCTTTTTATCATTTCCTCAGCAGAAATGGTAAAATGCACATTCAGATTTAACTCTGTGGGAAAGCAGCTCACCCCTGGTTTGTAAAGGTCTCATAGTAAAACATGGACCTAAAGAACCTAGGCGTGATTGAATCAGCAACCAGACATCCTTTTCACACAAAGTAGGAACATGTTATTTTCTCTCCTTCAGTTCAAACTAGACTGAGTGATCCAAGTGTCATTTTTGCCATATATAAACACAATGTGAATGTCTTCCATTGAGATTTTAATGTTTCTAACTGGCCGTGTTTCTGTTTTACTCCCTGAGAAATGGGATAACTATTATTTTCTTAATTTCATAGCGTGCTTTGAGTTTTCTGGACAAAAGTACTATAACCTCTGCACCAAAAATATATGCTCATAAGCTGCTTACAAAATGCCTTTCATTAAAAGGGCATGCTAGAGCTAGTCATGTGATTAAGTGTTTTTTTCAGTACCGTCCTTTGAGATCTTTGCTCTTGCCTTGTACATTGATGTTTATCTTCCAAATCTGTGCTGGTACCCAATGCCGTCGATAGCTCAGCATGACCTTCTCCACAGGCAAATAAAGATTATGAAAATCAAACTCAGACCTTCCTCCCCCCAAATCCTATTTTAATATTCTAAACAAAATTCTGAATCCTGATTTTGAATTTTTCTCCTTTCCATGCTCTTTCAAACATTACTTTTTCAAAATTCTTGACTAATACATACACTGATAATAACAGAAACAATACTATAACAGGGACATGACCAAAGGTTATTGCGAAGTGTTTCCCAGGTAATTCTAAATGGTAGCTCTTGTGACGCTTGGCAATTTTTTTAATTTCCTGAATAGAACAGGTAAATAATAAAAAGCATGAACAAAATACTGTCAGGTTATAATTTTGCCAGGTAATGTGCTTAGGCTTTGCTGTGACGGTGACTAAATAATACAAAGAGCATTCCATGCAAGGTACTGAGCTAAATCTGCTCCTCCACAATGACCTCTTGAGGGCCCTTCTATTTAAATCCATTTTTAGTTTATGTATGTCTCTAGAAATATCTTTTGTGACTAGGCATAGCATGTTTGTAGAGTGCAAAACATCTTTTTAAATATTCTATACAGTAAATTTACATTTCTGTAAAGACATCCTAGAGCTATTTTACAACTAATAAATATTGTGAGCCTGTGTATTTGTTGGAGCTTAGTGGGGCAGATTACCTGTCTTTATAAAGCCAAGAGACTATTGACATTTCTTATTACAGGAGGAAGGCTTTGGGCATGGAAGTTTCCATAACTTTTCAAATACATTTTCCATATATTTTCAAACATGGAGGACACATCATGTAGGGGGATATTTTTAGATCTTGCCAAAGGTCTGAAACTGTTGATTTTTATGTGCTTTTTTCTCCTCCTTATTTTCTTGCACTTAGTTGTTTGGACAGGTGTATCCAGTTTTTCCACTAAGTTCCTCATATTGCAGGATTTTTTTTTTTATATGCATAGCAGCATGCATAATTATAACAAGGTTTATTCTACCTAATACACAATAAAGGTAAGAAATTAAAAGGAACTCCTCCCAAGCATTTGAATTCTGTTTTCAGTACTTCAAGTCTGCTATAAAAATTAGGTATCAGTTCCTATGATATTAAAGATTGGAAAAAGTTTCCAGTTCAAGTTTAATCTATTAAAAACTGACCTACCTATAAAGATTTTCTAAAAGAAGCAAGGGAAAGGTGGAAGCCTTTTATGTACCCTGATATGTAGAAGAAAAATGCTTTCAAAGAATACTGAGAGTGTGTAAAGGATGATTATTTTTCTTACCCATTTTCATATTCTTATCCAATGTCACAATTGCAGTTACCACTATCAGAATTTATTTCAGCAAAAGAAAAGCTGCAGCCAAGAAGACCTGTAGCCCAACTCTTTAACAATGAGAATCTTATTGAAAAAGTAATTTTATTCTTGGTGAAAGATGAGGTCCCAGTTACACAAAATTATAATATATCCTACTTTCACTTTCTGGAAAAAAATATATTAATACTCATTAACTTGAAGCTGAAATCAAGCCTCAGAAGACATTACATAAATTACAGCTAAATGCACAACTAAAAGGATGTGCAAACATAAATTTATAAGCTTCAAAACAGATTTTAAGCTTCACACAGTTGAGCAGATACAATTTCCTACAAAAATGCTCTGTAGAAGTGTAATAGGCATTTGCATTTTCTGACCAGACAGCTGGTGCACTCTGAAGTCAGCACTGGGCTGGTTTACACCAAGGTTTGGCCCATGTATCTAAAAGCATCCATGAAGATTTTGATTACCACTGTGTCACAGTTTGCATACATGTGGAATACCAACTAAATCCTGAAGCCCTTACAAGGAGAAAATTTCTACTGATATTAGAGTTTCACCTGATAAGGATTTAAAAATCAGATCAATGGCACTATACTGTTGTAATAACCAAAAGTGTGGGCATATATAACATACATTCAAATATGGCATTTATGCAAACCCTGGAGAAACGTCTCATCTATCCAGCATGATGTTACAAGTTATGTGAAAAAACAGGACTGAATAAAATAGTATATAGGAATTTGTCAGTCTTTCAAGTCTCTCAAACCACAGAATTAGTATTATAACAGTTTCTACTACTGAAAACTGGTAGGACAGACTGAAAAGATGTTCAGGCCCTGTGTCTTTTCTCTTTGCATTTCGTAACAGATATCATGAAAATAGAAGAGCAGAAAGGCAGTGCCTTGTTCAGACAAGTTCCTGCAATGCAATGGCATGTTGAGACACACACTATTTATCAGCATTGCTAATGAACTGCAGAGTAGGAAAGTTTGTCTGTGCTGCCTGGGCTAGTCAAAGGTGATGCTGAAAGAGACAGGGTTGTCTCGGCCCTGAGAAATACCAAAGCTGCACCACACGGGAGTTACAGCTAAACTCTGAGACTTCACTCTCTGCTCGCTCTTCACTCATCCCAGACTACTAAATCTTACAGCTGCAAGGAGGAGAGGTGACCTACAGCTGGTGACTTTGACATTTTAGTGATCACTGAAGTGATGGAAAAAATTGTTGAAACTCTGGTGCTTGGGAGGCGGGGCTGCTGTGAGCGATCTCCTCCACTGTGGTCACTGTACTCTTAACTAATCCCTGTGTTACCTGGACATGCTCTTATAATACCTCCAACTATTCAGACGTCTTGGTGGGCATCCTGTGTCTTCTCACTCTGATTGCAGAGTTAAGTCCTAATAAGAAATACAGTCTTGCCTCAGTATACAACAGGCTGCACACACACCAGCACGCAGAGATGGCATAGCTCCTATGTCTGACATAGCTGATTCACCCATTCCCTAGTGAAACCTGTTGCCCTTTTGAGGTAAAATATATTTCTCTACTATGGCACATGTTCAGTATATACAGTTACACTACAAACAAAACAAAAGTGTCCTAAACACAAAGGCTGAGATGTTTGGCTACAACTTATTAATCCTTGCTTGGAGTGGGATGCTGTTGTTCTATGAAAATTTTTACTATATTAATAATGACATTGTCTCAATATACAATCTATAATATATCTAAGTACATTGAATAGGTATGATTTCTTGTATAAACCTTCAATTAAATATACTTGTCTAACAACGTCACCTTGTATGCTTGTCAGAGATTGGTAAAAACATATGTATGTATCCAGACGCCCAGTGCACAGGATTCAGCGATTAACTTTTAACTTCTGCTGCCAGGCTTTATCTTCAAATACTGGTTATTAAGCTGTACTCGGAGGACTATTCTCTCATTCCAAGGCAGAACAAAGTTCTGGAAAAATTCTTGATATGCACTCAAAATGCAAGAGAACTTCAATGTGTCACACGTTATAGCACCCAAATTAGGGTAATAAGCCCGGCTACTTGCAAACTGTAAATTAAAAGTTAAGGAAGAAAACTCACAGATCCATACAGCCAAACAACAAAGCTGTCAAAGAATTGGTTCCAGCTCATTGGTTTTCTTTTTCACAATGCTACATGATTTATGCTAAATCATAACCCTAAATCACTTTTTTTTTAATTATTCCTACAGTTAGGAAATATTCAATGGATTACAGCATCTCCAAGTTCTCATATTCCCTCTTTATCTTTCCACACTACGTGAGCATTGCAGAGAGAAAACAACAGCAGTCAATATACTATCTGCAATATGGCTTCCTATGAGAAGGACATTTAAGTGGCTTTGCTATTTTTCTTTGTCCAGTATCTGTTCCTCAGCGTGTATGTGTGTGCATGTGTGAGCACGCACACGTTTTCTTCTCTTTTTTTATGGTGCACTTCACTGACATATTTAATAGTCACTCATTCCCATAGCATTTGTTTGCCATAGCTTACAAAGTCAAATTGGATTGTATTATTTGATTATATTGTATTTACAAACAAGTTGGCACTTACAGAATAAATTATCGATTCCTCTTTAATTTTTTATTTATTTTTATTTTCCGTTTTTCTCCTCTTCTTTTTCACTCAAGAGCATCCACAATTCAGGTGGAATAGTAAAACCTGCTGCCTGTTGCCGTTATGCTACATTAACATGAGTAAATAGGATTCCAGCCAATACACTGTTTCCCAGTAGGTTGCTCATTGTTGAGAGGCAGTGCCTTCCACCTCAGTACATGTCCAATGCTCAGGGACTGTTAGTCAAGTGAAAGCAAAGGTTGCATGTTTTCTTCTTCATTCTTATCCATGCGTTTCAGCACCCCAGGATCCACAACTGACTGAGACCTGTAGAGGGATATAAGATGGTTGACATTTCTAGATCAAGAAAAATGAGGGTAAATCTCAGCTTTCTTTTGTTTATTTTAACTTCTGCCAGGGCTTAAAAATAATGGTACAGCACTAATCAAGCATCTGATAATTGCAAATGGTCAGAAAACACCCTCATAGAGTGACTACATGGCTTTAAAGAGCTCAGCGCTGGTTTGTGGATATAGGAGCAAAAGGAATAAAGTTAACCTTTTCTTCAGTGAAACAGTGAAACAGGGTGCACCCTCAGCACAAAACAGGGCAGACTAAGCTGTCTTTTGCACGGACTTAAGCACTGACCCTCTCTACAAGGAGGTTATAGAGCACTGGGCTGCTAAAGAAGGCACAATCCAGCCACCCAGCCAGCTAATGGCACACTGGAACTAGTGGCGTGTGTTAGCTGGAAGCACAAGTTGCTCCTTTTCTGAATAGCACTTAAATGTAACAATGTGAGATCTGAAGCCAACCCTAGGGAATCCTGCCATGGCCAGCAGGATTTCTGGAGCAGCAGACATCTGTCAAATTCACTTCCTGGTTCAACTAAACAGAGCAGAGAATGATGGTAAGGGCAAATTCTGTGAGGACTGTAAAATTTCTCCAGGTTCTCTCACTGAGCACAGAAGCATAGCATTGGTACTGCTTCCTTGCAACAGCCATGTGGGAGGGGAAAAAGAGGAAACCCCAACCTCTAACAAAATCAAAATGCTTCATTAAAATCAAAGTCTGATGTGTTAAGACAAGGGTTTACATAATGTGTATCTCAGCCTGTCAAAAAGCAGACACTTCTGGGATACAGTAAAAGCAACCCCTGTTGTTTCCTTTAGTGAGATGAATCTCATGCTAGAAGTGCCTATTTTTCTTCCTTTCTGTAAAGAAGATTTGAAATGGCTAGAGCACGTGTACATCTCTGCAATGTAGGTATCTATTTTTGATTGGGGGAAGCACACTGACTGCAGCATTGCTACAGATTTGCCCGTTTGGAGGGCTACAGTACCGAGAGAAACCTTTACGAATTCTGACCTCTCCTAAGATAAACATACTGAGTCAATCTCCCACTCTTATAAACTGGCACCACCCACTGAGACAAATCAATGAGGCTGCAATCAGGAGACAGTTTGGTCTTTCTGTAAAAATGTAAAGAAAAACCTTTAAAAACACAAGAAAAAAACATCTGAATTAAAGCCTAGGTGAAAACTTTAAACACAAGTATATTTTCTAATAATACTTTCCATGTTCTCTTACGCATGCTAAAATCAAGAAAATCAGCTTTAACAATCTGAAGGTCTATCTTGTGACAAATATAATTTAAAAAATCTAATTAAAACTGTACAATAATCCTCATCTAGAACATTTTTTGGTTCCTCAGGCAGAAAACTAAACCACTGAATTAAAAATGCTTTTTTAAAATCTTCACAAGGTACCATGCCAATCCAAAGATGCTTGAAAATTTGCTGGTGGGAAGCTGTACTCCTGGAAAATCCCGTTCATCAGGATAAAAAGTGTTGTAGAAACATACTCATTTCAAAGGATTCTCAACTGCATGTAAGTACTAATAGGAGACTGAGCCTCCTCCTTGGCTTCAAATTCCCACTGAGGCACTTTTGGCCATAAATTCCCAGGGCCTCCAAACTCTCTGATGCCAAGGCAGATGTGAAAATGGAATGGTACAAATCCTGACCTATCCTCAGCCATGAGAGCAAGAGCCATGAGGACACAGCCACAGACTAAACACAACTGCTGAGACAGCTGCAATGGTGCCACATAATGTGAACATGTTCTCCCCAGAGGTCTGTGCTACAGGTGGGATTAATTTCTCCTTATCTCCACCACCTCTCCCACCTCCCTGCCAAGTGGAGGTTATCCTATATACCAGAAATTTGAGATCTGTAAAAGCATCAGTAGTTCATATGGGGGCAAAAAATGAGTTACAAAGAAAAGAATTCCCAGCCATATTTTGGTTTAAGAAGGATATTCATTTTAAAATGGCAAGCCAAATTAAACAAGGTAATTGTTGGAGATCTGCTAGATACTTGTGAAATTGTTTTCTAAGAAGATAAGCATTTTTTCATTGACTTACTATCATGGTTTTTTAATATGTTAAAAACCATTTTCTGCACTAACCACATTGTCATTTTAAAATGAGAGAAACAAAAATAAGGTGATGAATTTAAGTTAAACATAATTTTTAATTAAATAGAATTTATCTGTTTTACCTTAACTTTTCTATTACTATTTTAACACATACTATGCACTTAATACATCAAAGTCCTGGGACTTTCTGTCCATCTCAGTACCAATCCTTTCTACTTGGTACTAGCAGAGTAAGTCTACTTAGTACTTTTATATCCAACAGCCAGAAAGGATTCCAGCAGCTGCTAGTGTGAATTAGCAATCACACTAACTGAAAAAGAACCTGAAGAAGGTGAGGAAATTTCAGCTCAATATTATGCAGAGACAAATTTCAACATGCTTATTTTCTGCAGTATGTCTCCTACTGTGCTAGGTAGGCCAGACTGAAAGAATGTCAATTCGAAGCTTGAAGTGAAGAATATTTCAAGTACAATTTAAATGAGAATAAAAATTCTTCTGCAAAGAATGAAGAATCTGGTCAATCCCCTGCTTTTCCATTTAACAATGTACTTTCCCAGTGCATTAAAAGTCTGATCCAAAGGGTCTTGTCACAGGTCTTCTCGTGTATTTTTTTGTTGCATCCTTGGACGAAGCTATTTACTCTCATGACTTTACTTTGCAACACTAAGAATTCTGCATTTCAGCTCCTAAATTACACTCTTCTCTCCAAGACTGCCTCTCTATTGTCTCATAATTAATGTATTACATGCAATTCAAATATACATGTATTGCTCACTTTTCCCCTTTTCCTGGCTCTTTGCTGTTTCATTTTCTCTGTTACTTGTGTTAATCGCATCCTTGTCATACAGCTTCAGGACTTTTTTTAACTTCTCCTTACCCTACTTCATTCCCATCCAGCCTCTGCTCTTTCCCACTTTCAGTGCACCATAGATTTTTTTAAACACAAAACCCTTTAAACTTCACTGCTTTTTTCCTTTTTTATTCCTATGGAAACCTCCTGTTGTCTTCTCTCTACTTCCCATAAGATATCTCCCTCTCAAACTGCACTGTCCTCCCCAACCTATAAAATATCTTCCAGCCAAAATCATTGCCCTGACTGGGGAGACTGAAAATAGTTCATCCTGTTTGATCTGCTTCCAGAGTCCCTTTTGCATCAAATGCCCTCTCCTGAAACTGAATTCTTAGCTTAGCATATTCTGACTTAATTTTAGCGACTTTATATATTGTTTTCTGCCCTATTTCTTCTCTTCCAATTCAGTTCTAGGCCTACCCCTTAGGAGCTGCACTCCAACTTTTACTGCCCTGCTCAACCTTTTCTTTCACCGTGAAGTAATCTTTCCCCTTTCTCTTCTTGCCCTGGCAGAGTTGGACCAGGCTGGACCTCCCAGGTGAATCCCCTCACTACTTCCATAGTTACTGGAGAGGAAACTAACCTCTTCCTGTACTTTAATTTGAATGGTAAATTGCAACAAGCAATTATACTGTATCTCTCAAAGAGGATTTTTTTTCCTAGTGTATACTAGGCACTAGGCTATGAGATGGAGGAAAATCAGAGTTATCATCACTACTCAGCTGGATAATTGGCCCCAATTTACCCTCTGCACTGAGGCTCACTTCAGCCAGCACTGTCTCTCTGATATGTACTGTAGTCTACGGTAGGATATCAGCTTATTCCAAACACAGTACTGTGTACATTACATATATGGCAGCACAGAAATAATGATTTGCACTGAGATCACAACTCACATGGGTAATAATCACTTCTGTGTTCTATAATCAACAGTGATCTTGTTAAGGGAAAAAAAATGGTCCTCCTATATAATAAACTGAGGGAAATACCAGCAGCTTCATAAGATGGGAGAAAGGCAAATGTTAAACTTATGGCAATACCAGAAGACCACAATAACTTTAACCCACCTTTTCATGGATTTGGGAGAGAGGTCCTTTTCTATATCCTTTGCAGGAGCGTTGTAGGAGTCCACATTGCATTCACTGTCATCATCGTATTCATGGTCAAGCAGTGTTCTTGCCCATGTCCCCATGTCATAGGGGGGCAGCATTCCTCCAAACTCTGAAGGCAGGATCTCAGGGTGTATTAGCTGATGCAGGCTGTTGAGGTTATTACCATGCAGGAATATCTGTATGCACACATGTAGGTGAAAACAAAGTGGTATCACAATAATTGTCAAAGCCCAAATGACACCAGCATTATTAGAAGATATTGCACAATGCCGATACTCTGGCTGTGCTGGGCTAACAGAGGTGGCCACCAATCAAGGCACACATCACCTCACTAGCATAATATGACCATGAACCTATAAAGTGATTAAAGTGTAAATGACTTAAAATGTTTGCAGAACAAAGGGCCTAAAGAGGGTAAGAACTGACTTCTGATAACTAGATGGACTGAAGATTAGATAGACTGTCTATATTTTGTTATTTGCTCTCTCTAATCCTGTGAATTAAATTAATAAATTAAGAGCATAAATAATCAATGAAATTAATATTGCCTATATACATTAAGAAATATATATTGACTTTCACCATCCAGCCACGAGTTCTATAAACAAGGTAAATAGTCCAGTGTACTGAAAACTCCACTGGAAAGACTTTCTTCCTTAATGTGGTGGTACTAGTAACTACTATCATACTTGACAATATATGAAGTAAGAAAAATAATCTCTGTGACAACAAAGACAGAATAGTTGATGGACTATTGATATTTTCCATCAAAGTTCTGGTAGACCGATTTTCATAAATACTTCACATTCATATATATGTATATTAATATGTTATATACGCATATGTATACAACATATATATATAAGAATACTTGTGGTTATGTTTATATTTAACCTTATTATTTCTCCTCTGAGATCTGAAATGTGTGCAGACCACTTTTAGAGGATTTTAATTGACTAGCACCAAAGTAGCCCAGAAGGGAAGGTAGGATGATGCCTCCTAACAGCTACAGGCTGGCTCTTGTTCCATGTGGGGCAGACAAGGGTATAAGCAGACAGGTGTCAGGTGCTATCAATTCACATGGCATTTCACCTTGCAGGGGCTTCTCTGGAAAGCTATACCCCTAGCATGATTTATCAAAGGTTAAATGCAAAAAGCAAAAAAAAAAAAAAGGCCAAATATATGCTTGTCTTGTATTGCTTATTTCAGCCTGTCTTCCAGTCAGCTGTGGAGACAGAAAGCTTAATGTGACCATGCAAACCCAGTAATGTTCTTCTATCTCATAAAGGAATTTATCCTTGTGTGAAAGAAAAATATTAATGCTGAGAGTACTTTGTTTTATGGTGCCTCTCCAACAGAATGTTTCAATTTTTAGAATTGTCTTTATACTTGCCCAGTACTATGTTTATCTGATTATAGCTGTTATTTGCAAATGTACCAGACATATTAAAAAAAATGCAAAATAATTCAGGATAAACACAACAGACAAATAACAAGCCCGACAAAATTCTGAAGATAAATCTGTTGGGTCTGAGGATTTTTCATAATCATTTCTTCTGCCTCTTACACGTTTTTGTAAAGCTGATTTTAAATTTAATGTGCTGGACATAAACTTAACATTCTGACACAAAGTTCTGGACTCTAAATCAATATTTCAGCACCTGACTATTTCTTACAGGTATTTAGCATTGACAAAAACAATTACAGAAAGTCAGTATTTCTGAAAATTTATGCCACTGATTCAGGTACCTAGATAAAAATTTAGATGCTAACTGATGAGCACCCATGTTCAACTGCCCTGTCACTTACTTTTAATGTTGTAACACGCTCATGAGCTGTACTTTACTCCCTGGTTATACATACATAGCGCTTGACTTAAAAAGGCCTCAAACATACCTGGCACTATAATGTTCTTTGTTGAAGCTGTAGTCAACACAGTTCAAATGAATCCTGCAAAATGGGTTTTCATTTGCATATTTATAACAGATATTACATAAAAGGGTTTGTGATCTATAGTTCACAATCTGTGAATACCAGATGCCTCTCAAGCATTATCTGTCAGTAGAAACCAGCTAAATACCAAGGATCATTGTGGCCTTGTAAACAGATTGTGTTAGAGGAAAGAAAATAGAGTTGCTTAGAAAGCAGATCCCATGAGGAAAAAAAAAAAATCAATCATCCTATTCTTTGTAGTGGCTTCGTACATGATGTTGCTTGTGTTTTCTTGAATGACAAATTTCCTGTTACAGAAATAATTTCATTCTATGTGCTATCACCGCCAAGCTCTAGCTTAATTGTATTGATGCAAATGCTGCAAATTCAGCAGCATCTCAGAGACTGCTTGTGCTTATGCACAGATGCATGCACAGAAATTTCCTTCTGGTAGATTTCCTTCAAATCGGTATTTGCTAACTACTACACAACAGCCATGTATTTTAGCTCATGCTATTGTCAATGAAATCACACTAGGAAACTAGTGACTTTGTAATCACCTCTGTTCTTAAAAGAAAGGGATAAATAATTTTAAAAGAAATTTAATTTAATAGAATCTTAATAGAAACTGTAATGTTGGCAATATTTTTAATATAGCCCAGGAGAAAGTATATGCTTAAACTTTAAAATCCACTTAAGTGTGCTGCCTGACTGTGTCCTTGAAGGATAATGCTGTGTAAGTTTCTGAAACAGTTAAAGATACTCTACAATGCAGATATATTTAAATACTTCCCATTAATAGCAAGCTATATTGTATATATCTACTTTATTAGACTATGATACATCTGCTGATTACACCTGCCAGGCAATGGACAGTTAAACAGAAGAATACCCTTTTTCGTGTCTTCTCCTTTAAAAAGGGCCGTATAACTGTGTAGAGGGCATGGATATACCACGGCTGATTGACAAAATGGATTCCTCCAAACCGAGCTGGAAAACTGTCCTGTGTGTCACAAAACAAACACATACAATGTGAGCTGACTCATAACAGAAGTTGCACATAGATAAAACATTTTTTTAATGCAAAATGCTTTAATTTTAATAATAAAACTTAAAGAAGAAGAAACATTCTTCAAAATTGTATCGTCTCATTTGAGTTCCAGTGTTCCACACCAAGCAGCAACACACCCTAGACAGAGTGGTGAGGAAGCGTGCTGAAACAGCTATGGTATTCAAATAAAAACACAGCATTTCTAATCTCCAGAAACGCTTTAAACATTTATGATTTGCTCGTAATCCATCTCTGCAGTATATTTTTCTCTTTTCCACTTCTACAGATTTTATTCATTTTTAATAGTAACCATCTCAATTCTTCCAGTGTCATTGAAGAGCACTAGAAATGTCCCTCTTGTTGCCACCTTAAAAAGAAAGTGTAAATCTAAACTAGTATTCAAAATGTCTCCAATATTATCCATATTTCATAAAACTGAGAATGCATTAAACATTATGCTTAAACTGTTATGCAATATCCATGACAGTAATTCTTGTCACACAGTCAGGGACCTTCTGGGAGCTTAAATGTAAGGACAGCATATCCATATTGAAGCAATGACTTTTCTTTTTTCTTGCTGAAAAACACAAGGGGCAGACAACTCACTAGGAAAGATTTTGATCTGCACTTTCAATTTCTAAGTCAAGAGAATATGCCAGAAGGTTTGGCAGTTTGAAGAAGGCAGCCACTCTGTCCTGGAATACTATTGCCAAATTCATTGCGTGTCCTCGTTTTGTCCTTGCCTTGTTAATCATGTACACACACACAATGCAACAAGCTGCTGCCATCTCCTATGTTGCCAAGAGTTACAGCACTGAGCAAAGAATCAAGTGCAAAGAGGGTTGTAAATTGACACATGTCCTTTTTGTTTTCATGGCTTATGTCAGAACCTTCTCAGTGTCTATGAAATGTACTAAATTAATGGCATTCATCTGAACCCTTATTCTACAGGTGGTCTGATCTAGGCAGCCATAGTAGTCAGATCTAACTCATGTTCCTCACATCAGCAGCAACTCCGATTTGACAATACAAGTACAAACAAGGACATGCTTCCAGCTGCATCTTCTCTTCCTCTTGTGTGGATGCTGTAAAAGCAGCTTCGGGTCTCTGTCAATGGGATCAGAGGCTCAAAAGGAGGCAATCAAATGGTTAGACGTGGCACTCAGTCCAATGAGACATATTTTTGCTCCTCTGGAGACAAGACTATAGGCTATACAGAAGCATACATCAGTCTAGACATAAGCCACAAAGCACCACTGAAGTTTATTGATATGTGGTCATACAGCACACAGCAAAAAAAAATGGCCAAGAAAAAAAATCAAAAGTTATATCAACCAATCAAGAAACATCAGATAAGGAAGGCATGAAATCTAGGAAGGAAATCTTTCATTAAATGTTTCAGGTAGGAATGTACTTTGAAAAAGTGCATATGCCAAGAAACCCCCTTAGTTCTGTGAATGTGTACAGACCTGTGGCAGTAATGAAGCCTGAAGAGGTCACTTGCTCCTCTCAGAAGTACCATTCAAATACTGTCAGACACTCTTAACCCAGGAGGTCTTTACATCAGGGTGCCACCTGCCTCCAAATTGCAACGTCTCGGCATATTACCAGATGAAATATTTTCCATCAAGGAGGGAATGTCTTAAAAATAATTTACAGGGAGGATAACAGCTACCACACACAACACTAACATCTGACTAGCCACGACAAAACAGTCAACACAATTAATAAACAGTCTATTTTTCAGATTTTCTCCAGAAACATTTGATTAACAATGGCTTTGAAATAAAACAATCCTATCAAAAGACTGTGCTACAGAAGCCTCATCTTGCTAAATGCCTAGTTTCTGTCAGTGCTGACTAAATGTCAAACTGGATGGCTGATAATCTGACATGTAATTCACCCTGTTCAATATCGTAAATCCCCAAATACCATTTTGAGAACACAACTTCTGATGTACAAAAGGTAGTAAATTATGTCCCTATCACAGCAATCCAATGAATCCATTAGGAAGAATAAAGCACTGGATGACACCTTAACCTTTAGTTGCAGGAGATACCATTCATCTTCAGAAGGCTGTGTTTATTTGGTTTATCATGGCTACTGCTTCAGCAAAGGAGTCCAGCGAACCGTGCTGTGTACAATGCACAAAAGAGCATACTCTAGAGCTGCAGAAGACTTCTTTTGTTAGTTTCATCCAGATGTGTCTGAAGAGTTGACTCTGGAATGGTACCTGTGTTAAGTCCCATGGGAGCCAAACACTTTTTATGATGTAGGTACTATCCACAACAGCCATTCATAGCTGCTTGACTTCTTGCATGATTTTATAAGCTTTAAAATTAATTCAAGTGACACGAAACTTACACACTCCAAGTTATGAAATATTTGCTCTTTATTGCTCAAAAAAGTGGAAGCAACTGCAGCTGCTGGAGAAACAGGTGTCGGGAGCTGCCTGGCTGTTCTCAGACATATCTGACTTCCACATGGGAATTTGCCACACAGATGGCCATCCTACACAAACAGCAGGTAGGAATTTCTTCCAAATCATTGATTCTTGTGGATTTTTTACATTAAGTCAGAAGTGTCATGTGGCAGGCACAACTGCCTCTATAGACATATTGCACTTCAGCAGAAAAGCCTGTAACCCATGAATCACGTGAATTCTAAGTAAAAGGAATCCCATGCCAGAAAACAGTAAGAAATGGAAATCAGCCACGAGGTGCACTGTGCATCTGACTGGAAAAGTAATAAATCAGATGAGGTATTACCCAATCGTTAAAAAGAATTAGTTATATATACATAGTGTGTGGATGTTTTTAGCACTCACATAACCCCTGTTTATGCATAAGTACACAACCTAAGCATGCCTGTGATGAACACAATTTGGCACATGGCCACTCCACAGACACAAGCAAATAGGTATTTACAATTAGGGACCACAGCCCTTGTAATACAAGACTTACAAGTGACAATCAATAGTGGGTTGCCAAGGAAGAAGCAGATCCCTACACTGTCTGCAGGACTGGGCAGCTACCAGTGCCTGGCAGTAACTGATGTCTCCTCTAGCATCTATAAGCTAATGCTGTAATCTCTGCCACACATAATTTGTATGCCCTGAATTTATATGACCCATCTCCACAAGGTTCCTCTCCAAGGACACAGCAGCTGTTGCCTGCCACTGTCCTTGGCACATGCTAAGAAGCCAGGTTTCTACTTGCTGGGCACCACATCTCACCCTGTGCTGAGCTTGGCCATCACCTGAGACAGCTCTCAGCGTTTCACAGAGGGTTCTGCTCTGCAATGTGGCCAGCAAGAACTCTTAATTCTTAATTAAAGCACAGGTAATAACAGCAAAATCTGCACATAGCATTTTCAACAGTACCTAAGAGAGGAAAGTGACAAATTCCTACTGAAAATCAGTGTGAATCTACTTAGTGGTGTCAGAACTGTTATCAGAGATCACAAAAATGACCCACCTTTTTCATCATTACAAAATGCACAAAAATTAAAGAACTCTTAAAGCCCACAACATTCTCCACTCCTTGGGTATCGTGTCTACATTTAAACCTCTGAAGTGTACTTTTAAAGAATTAGCTAACTCAGCTGAAATCAGTACTGGAGTTAAATTTGTTTGCACAGCTGAAGTATAGTCTCAGAAGCTGTTGAGACCACTGTGCACACCAAGATGTGTCAGCAGCTCAGCCACACCGAGGCCTCACATGTGGGCTGCACACTACCTGCAGATTGACCATCTAGACACACTTTGCCACATACTAACACTGCCAGAGTGCCTGGGCACATATACTCTTTGGCCATGTTTGAGGGTTTGTGCTGTCTTTATGGGCAGTGAAACTGTTTTTTTGGAGAGTCTAGAGGCATCCTTCAAAGGACTATCTGGGCAAATACAACAAATTCAGTGACATACTTTGCTTAAGGCTGTGCTTGAGCACCGTGATGAATTCAGGCTGTAGCATCTGCAGGCGACAAGAGGCTAAAGTCAAGACTCTGGAAACTGTATCTTCATAACAAAAACTTCAAGTTCAAAGATAGTACACTTTATGATTAATATCTTAAATGTCACTTAAGAGTTATTCCTGAAGACAGTAAATTCAGGTCTCCTTCAGCTATTCCAAAAAGTCAAGCACTTCAGGGAGAAAAAAAAAAAATCACTATGATGAAGCAAAATAGTATCTTCATAATGGAAAGTTCCATTAGAATCGCACTGAAACATTCTGTCTGATGCAAGTTACAGCATGACTACACTTAATTTTTTGCATGTTTAAGAGGAAACTATGGAAAATCACAGAAAGAAAAGGCTCTGATTAGAAGGAATAGGTCACTTTCTTCATAGTCCTAGAGTTGAATTATCAAGAGGAACCAAGAACCACTGCCATCCACATCAGGAAAGGAAAGCCAAGTCTTGCTCCCAGACTTTGTCACTGAAGGTATGAAAGAACAAGGCATTCCTAATACCAAACTTCCAGCAAGTATGCATCCATGACAAGGGGAATTGCAATGTCTCAAAACAAAGTACCTTGTATGTCAAGACAAATCACCTGTGGTCAAGGCATGAGCGTAGACTGGGAGCCTACCCAGTGGTATGGTAGCATGGCAAAGTGACTGAAAAGTGAATCTGTGGAGTCAAAAAGAATTTTTATTGTTTTCTTTATGAAAACAAATACTGGAAGGCAGATGTTATCTATAAACACACCAGGGAAAACAAAGAACAAGTGAGGAAAGACCCTTTCAAAACAAAGGAAAATGCTGACACTCAAACAAGAAAAAGATCACCACAAATGCAGCTAATTTGGAAAGTAATAGACAGCTTTGAATCATCAAACATCCAACAAGTCTGAGAAGGAATAAGCAACCTAATTCATTTGGAGAGAAAGATTACTAAATTATGAGGAAGCTAAACTTCAGGTTGTCTGTTACAACAGGAGACTTCAACT